GAACAAAGTATAAGCATAAATTTGCTTGGTTGCTAAAAAGGTCTGCTCCAAATAATACAACAAAGATATACTCACTGAATACAATACAAAAAATATAATTCATACTGAAGGTCAAAATACAGAAAATATACCTGAAGGAGATACTTTTTTTTCAATAATGACTTCAATGATTCCAAGGAATTAAAAAACGTAACAAATGAACCCGTATCAAGTAATAAAAAGTATACAATGTGAGAAATAAAATAATGAAAAAAATCAGTCAAATCAGGAGGAAATTTCATTGGGATGAATCAGTTGAATATATTATTTTTAATGCTATTGCAAAATCATTTAATTATTTATTATTCATCATCAATAGATGTGCAATATTTTTTCATTTCATTTAGTGATAACATTGATATTTTTTTATGTAATTCGGCAGTCTAATATAAAATTTCAATTCCAATGGAATACAATGATTTTCTTCCAAAATTTCTTTTTGTTTGTACAGTTTTTAAATGATTCAATTGTCTGATGAGATGATCATGGCTATCAGAATTAACGATATGTGAAATATGGATAAAATTACTGATCTTCAATTCAAAGATCAGGTTTCTAGGTTTATATAATTCATTTGTTGGCTCTTGAAAGGGTAACTGATTGATTCATTTCAAGGTTTTATATTGTAATGATTTTGAGGGCTTCATTCCAGATTTTGTTGGAGTACCTCAAATAGATATTAAATATTTAATTGCAATTTTGAATTAATCACACTGAAATAAATAATATTTAGATATTTTAGGGGCAAAAGAGACTTTATACTTGATAAAATGCTGTCCTTGTTAAGGTTCAATCAATGTATAATCCACCAAATTTCAATTTTTTTGTACTCTGGATTCTTAAATTATTTGGAATAAGAATACTCATATTATAAGGTGAGATCCTTTTGAATATATACATATAACCAGATTCTTGAGGATCCAGTGTTAATTTATGAATATTCAACCATGACATCATAATAGTAAGGTCTTGCTCCATTTTATTATTTAATTATTTTGTGTTTCTAGAGAAATGAACCAATGTAGTGTCGTCTGCAAATAATTTAAGGTTACCATGTCAATTCATTTCAAATATTGAATTTATGTATATACGGAAAAGGGTGGCCCTAAAACATATCCCTGCGGCACGCCTCATGAAATATTCTTTAGTCCAGATATAGATTCTCCCATATATACAAATTGTTTTCATCCTGTTGAATAATTCTCAAACCAATTATTAAAGCAACCTCTAATACCAATTAACGCAACCTCTGATACCAATTTGATTTACACAATTCCTGTTCATGTATGCTATTTATTACAAAAATTGAATTATTCAGTTCACTCTGAAGTAGGTACTCAGAGTTCTCAACTTTGCCCAAATATAGTGAGCCCTATCGTATGGATTGATATTTTGGGGAGGATTCCCCCATAGCCAATAAAGTTTTCGTGACACAAAGACGTATTGGGAGGTATATGTTGAGAACCCATTTTATATATATCACTTATATATATTCCGGGTGTTCATCCGTTGTGTACTATTCGATAGTCGACGTTTCGCCATCATCTCAGATGGCATTATCAAGACGAGTTACTGCTTCGCTTCGAGAGGTGTAACTGANCCATTTGGGGGGTATCGGCTCATTCAAAGTTAAAGTCAAACACTTATTACTGGATAACTGTGAACAAAGGAGTTACAGCCAAAACTTTTTCAATTTTTCTCGTATATCTTCGGAACATATTATTGTTCAGTAGTTGACAAAAGTAGGCAACTCTGCTACAACCTATTCTATATTTTTTGTCATTTATGAGCCACCCAAATTTGAAAATCCCTGTATAAGGGGTGCTGTTGACTTGTTCCAAGCAAGTCCTAGGAGAAAAAACTAATTTTTTTAACATATTATTCAAATAAATATTCACACATATCATGTATTCATGAAGTTAAATATAAGGTCATTAACTTGATTTAATTTTCTTTTCAAAACAAAATTTTTCATAGTTTTTATCATTATAGATACTGTTTTATATTTCTTTTTTATATAAACTATATACTGAGTTAATTTATTTTCAGAATATGGGGCCAAGCCGAGGGAATTCAAAGAACGCCAAGGCTTCAATAGGAGACGAGGTGCTATGCGAAGAAGGGTTCATCAGGTTAATGGTCACAAATTCATGGCAACTTTTTTGCGTCAACCTACCTTTTGTTCCCACTGTAAACTTTTTATTTGGTAAGCAAGATATATAATATGTTTCAGTTTAAATGCCGAACATTTCCAGTGACTAACTTGTTCTTTAAATTCACAATTGCAGTACGTACCTAAAGACCAGTACACTCACTATTCTAGTTTTTACTGAACAGCTTTGACATTTTATACCCATGACTGCTTTTTGGAAGCAGAATAAAAGATCGCCAGTGATTTAAAAAAATGTTTGTGTATGTTTGTTCTTTTTCCATCTATACCAATGAGTTTTGAAATTGATTGACAATATTTTTTTTTCATTATTAATTAATTCCAGAGCTCATTGTCACAACCTGAATGAATACCTTGGATAATTATCTCTTTTATGGATTCAAATCCTTCAGAAATATTACTGTTATTCAATTTGGACTAGAAAAACTTGGTCTTTATATAAGTGCTGTGATCAGTTATGATATTAGTTTCTGTCTCTGTTTGCACTAAGCTTTAAGGGCCCTTTAAACTGAAAGATATGTGGGAGCTTGTGTTATGCAATGATTTATTCACTTTTGACTCAGTAGTGTGGGGTTTCTACCAACTCATTTGAGTTTCAAGGGATTATTGTTTTACTAGAACAAAATACTTTAGATTAGTCAAAATACCTTGATTTGGTCATGTCAGACTTGTGTACTCACATTCATCTTTACTAAATTTACATCAAGATGCTTTGCTGAAGTTGAAATCCAATTATTGTAACTCCTTCAACTGAGCACATACACAAAATTAACCATTACTATCAACATTAATATGTGCACTATCATCACTTGTGTTATCATAGAGATCTTTTAACTAGTAAAAATTATTACGAATGTCAGCTTCAATAAATAAGATTGTATTTATTTATTTCAATGCAAAAACCAATTGCACAGATGTCAGTAAATTTTATATATTAAAGAAGAAAGTAATGTTAATCGTGAAATTATGAAACAACAACAAAAATTAATTGGCGCTTTGGGGCAACTTCATTGATTCCAGTGGCGCATTTGCTTTTTCAACTGCAGGAAGATCAAGATCTTCAGATGATGTGGTGCTGCAGGTTTTTCCGGGTTTTCCTGCAGCTGAAAAAGCAAATGCGCCACAGGAATCAATGAAGTCGCCCCGGAGCGCCAATTNAAAATTCAATACCGTCTATGAAAGTATGTTTATGACGCTCTCATATACCAACATCCTTTTTATTCTGTTGATACTCTGGTAGAAATGTGTTCGCAAATGACGGGAGTTTCAAAATCTTCGATATATAGTTACTCGCACATAAAGGGGTGCATAAAAAAGCTATCTTGAGCGGTCCGCCATGTTAGATTTAGAGTAACGTCATGTTCATTTTCGTATTCCTTTCAACAAACCCTTTCATTTAATATCCGTTCGGTGTATAAGAAATAGTCCCTCATCTTGGGTGATCCGCCATGTTGGATGTATAATGGCATCATTTAGCCATGCGTTGTCATCGGTTGAGGAGAAGTGCTTCAGAATTCAGAAGCAAGATTTGATTCAAAAAGCGTGTAAAAACGGACTTCTTGGCTGGAAATTATTGATTTTACCTTAATTTTTTCAACTTCAACACTTCATTAATACTAGTTGCTCGTGTTAATGGACAATATGGACATTCTTCCAAAATTTTGATTGCTTGTTTAAATTTTGTCTTATTCGCTATAAAGAATATACATTTATGTATTCTAAATAAAAATTGGTAATACACAATGCTAAAAAAATATGAAACGCCCAAAAAAAGTTTACCATTCAATACAGGGTGTAACTAAATAAGTGTAAAACATTCAAGGAGGTCGAGATCGATAAAAAGATAGGATCTTTCATATAAAGAAATTTCATTGGAGCATCCCTTATTAAGATACCCCCTTAAAGGGGGTACATAAAATGTTTATAACAATTTTTTTCACAAGAACTAAAAAAGTTACAATATTGAAATTAACCTGACGTTTTGTACTACCAAAAAGACACTTAGCCAGAAATTTATATGGTTTACCCCATGGTTGTAAGGGGTGGAAAACGCAACC